CACGCACGCACGCACACACGCACGCACACGGGCCCAGACGGACCGGCTTCGGGGTCCGTGGTGCCCCAGCCCGAGGCTATGCAGGTGCTGCCCACTACAGGCTCCTCGGTGGGCAGGTCCAGGACCTGCACGGCGTCGGTGATCTGCGCCGGCTCCTTCAGGCGCAGCAGCATGATGTCATGGCTGTAGTCCTGGCCCTGGCCGGGGAGCTGGCTCTCGGGGGAGCTCGCGTTGTAGCAGGGGTGTGGGAAGCTGGCGCTGACCTGCACATACTGAGCCGTCGCTTCCGGTTCTTCCAGGTCGTGGCGGCCCAGCCAGAGCTGGAAATTTCTAGGGGTGGGGGTGGGGCAGGGAGCACGGAGGAAGGTGCCAGAGAGCGAAGGAGAGGAGGAGAGAAGTAGCGTTACAGGAAAATAGAGACGTTTGTGGAAGACAGACCGGGAGAGGGAGTGTGTGCGCGTGGACAGAGGGACCCAGGGGACAGACACACAGCGTAGTGAGACATGCAGCCAAAGACGGAAACCAGAGACAGCGAGAAACGGACACACGGGAAAAGGGCGCGAGGTGGCCAAAACGGGGTGGGGCAGAGGCGGCCAAGGGGGGCTTCCACAGGGAGGTGGGTGCCGCGGCAGCCGGAGGAGGAGGGCAGGGCCTGAGGCCGGCAGCTGTGACAGTTCCGCCGGTTCCCCAGCCGGCAGGGGCCTGGCCCGCAGCCCAAGGTCGGCTCGGCCCCGTTCCCTCCCAGCCCCCCTCCCCCTTTCCCTCCGCCCCTCCCCTTCCGTCCCCTTCCGGGCTCCAGGTATCTCCCTACAGTGGACTGTCATCCAGGGCTGGGGGGCCAGGAGCGCTTCCCCCAGCTCACTCACAGGTACCGGGATAATCGTCCCTGGGGTCCCCTGAGACCCCCGGGGAGCCCGTTCAGTAGTTACGAGGTCAGGGAGGGAGGCAGAGCCCCAGACAGACGGGGTGGGGGCCACAGGCCGAGGTGGAGGAGGGGACACCCAGAGACAAGAGGGTGCCACAGAGAACAGAGATGGACAGAGATGTGGACACGGACAAGAGGGAGTCAGAGACCAGAACATGGTCACACAGACAGACACACACACACACAGGGCCAGTGACTGACTGAGAGACGGGGACCGGGGAGACACGGAGGGACTCCGGCCCTGTGGGGGGGCTGGGGGGGGCCGTGACCCACCCTGAGCTCTGCATCCCCTCCCCCTGGACGAGTGTCGCCTCACCCCTGCCGTCCCGGCCTCCCCTGCCATCATCCCAGGGGAGAGGCCCCTGCCTTTTCCCGGGGCGCACAGGAGCCCCCTACTCACTTGCTCCTGCAGTGAGCGGCCGTGAGCACCCACTGGGGCCGGATCAGCACGCCCCCGCACTCAGGCTTGTGGTAACTGAACACGGCCACCTGCCAGGGCTGCGAATGTCTCTGGCACTCCCAGCCTCCGACGATCCGGGACTGCATGGGGGGCACGGCACCTGTGTGCGTGTGCGGGGTGCTGGCTCAGGCAGGGCTGGGGACGCAGGGTTGGGGGGGGCCCTGCGAACGAGGACCAGGGCTGTGGGGGTGGCGACGGGCCCAGAGTCCAGCCATGCCTGGGGCTGCAGGCTGGTGGCTGGCCAGCTAGTTGGAGAAGCAGCAGGGGTGTCTGGTGGAATTTGGGGGCTGGATGTCAGGGACCAGGGGATGCCGTTGAGAGCCGACAGCTGGGTGGGGAGAGAGCGGGCCCCAGGGATCAGGGTGGGCGATGCCAGGATGGCCGTGGGTTGGGAGCATCAATGATTTGGGGCCCTCGACTGGGGGATGGGAGGCTGTGGGTGTGAGGAGTGGCCCCAGAATCCAGGGACAAGAGCCCCAAGAGGGAGAGCTGCGACTTGCAGGGGAAGGATGGGCAGGTTTAAGGAATTCCAGGCTGAGGAAACGTTGGGCCAGCGTGGGCTACTGGGGTTCTGAGCAGGATCCAAGTTTAGTGAGTCGGGTCTGGGAGGTGAAGGAAAAACATCTTGGCTGGGACATTTGGGGGCCACTTGGGGGTCCCTGGATAGGAGCTGGAAGGGGCCTGTGGGGCTGGGAGAGCTAGGCAAGTTTGGGGTTCCAGGTCAAAGGGTAGAAACCCACTACCTGCTCCACATGCTATCCTGGCATCGCCCACCCTGATCCCTGGGGCCCACACTCTCTCTCCGGCCAGCTGTCGGCTCTCAACGGCATCCCCTAGTCCCTGACATCCAGCCCCCAAATTCCACCAGACACCCCTGCTGCTTCTCCAACTAGTGGCCAGCCACCAGCCTGCAATCCCAGGGATTGTGGGGGTGGGATCCTATGGGGCTTTGGGGTCCTGTGTCCCCAGAATGGCATTTAAAGATGGGGTACGGGGCCCTAGAGGCTAGGGCTGGGACGGGCTTGGGAGGAGTGAGAGTGTGTCTGTCTGGAGTAGGCTGAGGACAGGGAAGGGGTGAAGCTCTGAGGGTCCTCTCGGGGTGTTGCCAGGGAAGAAATGGAGCAGCATGGGAGAAGGGGGCCAAGCGGCAGCGGGGTGGGAGAGAGGCCCTGCTATTTGTGGGGTCACATACTGGACCAAGGGGGAGTCCAGAGCCCCGAGCTGCAAAGGAGGGTGTCAAGTGGAGGAGGGCAAGGGGGTTCACTGTGCTTCACGTTGGTGGTGCTTAGATGTGTGTTATCGTGGGGGGAAGGCTGGAGGTGTCGGGTGGAGACAGAGTCGGCAGAACCCCTGTAGCATGTTGGGGCCCATATGGAGTCATTAGGCGGACTGTTTGGGAAGAAGCGGGGTGTCTGGTGGAATTTGGGGGTCGTGAGATCAGGACTGGGGACGATATCAGAGACTGGGGGCATGGTTGAGAGCTGACAGCTGGGTGGGAAAAGTCAGGGGGTTACAGTGGGATTTGGGGGCTCAGGAGTCAAGCTACTGAACCCTAGAGATCTAGGGGCTAGGAGGGATTGATCAGGGTCCCAGAAACCAGTGGGAATGAGGGAACTCCTTGGATGGTTACAAAAAAAGCCAAACTCACTACTGTCGAGTCAGCCCCGACTCCTAGCGACCCCTCCTTGGGTTTCCGAGGTGGTATCGCTACGGAAGTAGATTGTCCAACCTTCCTTCTGAGGAGTGGCTGGCGGGTTTGAACCACCAGCCCTCTGCTTAGCAGTCAAATGCCTTAGGCACTGCGCCACCAGGTTAGGGCCCCCCAAGAGAGACAGAGAAGGCCAGGCTCTGCCACTTTGGGGATGGGGCTGGAATCAGGGAGCTGTGGGGAGGAGAGTTCTGGGCGTCCCTGGGAGGGACCCACGGCAGTCAGGGCTGGGTGAGTTAGGAAGGGAGCTGGTATCCGGGTCTGAGGTGGACTGTGGGTTGGAGGGACACGGAGGCTGGGGTTCTGGGTGGGAGGGAAGGTCTTGGGGGCGGAAGGGGGAGCCACGTGGGTCAGGCCCTCTCACCCCCCGCATCCTGCCCCTTCTGTCTCACCAGTGCCCCCCAGGGACAGCGCGAGGCCCAGAACCAGGAACCACATGCCGACAGGCGTCCGGGGTCAGGCCAGCAGGGAGCGAGCTGGGGAGCCTCCCTGGGGAACCTTTAAAAGCCCTCCTTCCCCCCGGGGCCCCGCCCCTGCCCTGCTGGCATCCACATGCTGGCCAAGGCCCTGCCCATGTGCTGGGGGCCGGACAACCCCCTCCCACCCCCGAGCTGTGCAAGGGGCGGGAGAGCCAGCACCTGTTGTCCCAAGGGCCCTGGATCACCCTGGAGGCATTCCCAGGGGCTGAGGCCAGACGGGGCAGGGCCTGCAGCTCCTGGGGCCTTGGTCTTGGGGCCAGGGCCAGTGCGGAGAGGCTGGTGGGGGGACAGACACAGGGCTGGGAGCACCACTGACCCCCGATACAGAGTCTCGTCTCATACGCCTACATGCCACGTGGGGTCTCAGCAGCCCAAGTCCCCACGTATCCTCAGAGGCCAGCGGTGCAGCCGAGTCTCTGAACCCTGCACCACTCTGCGCCAGGATGCCACCTTCCAACACCCGTGTGTGCTGTGGCATGCGTTTCCAGAACCAGGGTCGGTCCGACAAACCTAGTAAAAGCTCAGAGTACAAACTACCCACGTTTCCACTTCCTCCATTCTCAGGAAGATCAACAAAGCTCCATGGGTCTTCCCACAGCAAATTCCCTAGCATTTCAAGATCCATTGTACCCCACAAACAAGGTTGGGGTCCCGGTGATTCCCCACTTCTCGTTGCCTAGGTCTGGACACTCAAATTACTGCCCCTCATAATCCCAGGGACCCCAGATTCCCTGTCCTCTGAGGTCCAGAACACTCTCTCTGCAAAATCCAGTCCTCTCCCTGCCCCCAGAGCATTCAGGGTTCAGAGTTCAAGTATGTCAACATTCAGTGACCTTGGAAATCACATCCCGTGGTCTCAAGATCAGGAACTTGACTCCTGCAACCTCAACGGTAAACTCACAAGTATCCAAAACGTCATCTTGGCTGTTGAGTGAAATCAGTGCGGCTCACCTGGGCCCAGGCTCTGCGGCCGATCACGAGCCTGACAAAAGCCATTTCACCCCAGCGATCACCAAAGATCCCTCGTGGCACACCAGCTAAGCGCTCTGCCGCTAAGCGAACAGTTGGCGGTTCGAGCCAACCCAACAGCACTGCATAAAGGTTACAGGCTGCTTTGGTGCAGTCCTACCCGGTCCCCGGGGTGCCTTGCAGACCAGATGGACTGGGCGGCACCTACCAGCAGCAGGGAGCCCAGAACTAAGTCTTGAAAAAGCAGCATTTCTTGCTTGTCTCAGAAACCAAACCAAACTCACTGCCGCAGAGTCAGTCCTGACTCACGGCAGCCCCTCCTTGGGTTTCCGAGGCGGCATCACTAAGGAAGTAGACTGCCCAACCTTCTTGGTGGTCTACTGTGTGCTGAGTCCGTTTACCGGGTATCCAGACACACAGCGCATGGACCTAGTGCCAGGCACTCTTCTGATGAGTTGACATGAATGACCTCATCCGAGCCTTGCAACAACCCCATGAAGTAATCAGTGTAATGATGCCCACTTTACAGAGAAGGAGCCTGAGGATGAGTGAGTGACGCTGGGTCTCAGCTCCTCAAGTCCAAGCGGCTGGTTCCGTGCTGGGTGAACAGGGCTGACCTCAGGCCCCTTCTCCTCACCTAGGGATCAGAGCAGTGGGTGAAAAGGAGCAGCGGAGGTTTGCTGGGCTCCCCGGATGCCTCTCCCGCACCGGCTCTGGCGCCCATCCCCCTCAGTCCCCAGAAGAAAGTCAGACACTCGGACCAGCACTGTCTGTCATCTCGGTGTTTTAACAGGTAACCTTGAGCACCCAGAGCTCTGGCCTCAGCAGGGACAAGTCCTTGGCTACATCTGAGCCTTGGAGTGAGTCTTAGGGAAAAGCCCAGTTCTGCCCCAGGTCAGGATGGGGCTCCCAGCCAGCCATGAGCTTCAACTCAGCGGGAACACAGGAAGCCAGAAGAGTCAGTTCCTTTTTATGGTTTCTCTAATCCACTCCAGGTAGCTGCAGACTTTCGTATAAACGCCAGGCTTGGTGGTGGTGTCACAGGGGACATCACCCCAGGACACGATGCCCTGCAGAACCCCCTCACAGACCAGGGGTCCCCCGGAGTCACCCTGTGGAGAGAAGAGAGATTTCAGCTTGAGCGGGAACTAACCGGATTGAGTGTCCCATCCCCATCCAAATCCCATTGACAACCGCAACCAAAACGCAATCCAGCCCAACTACCCACCTGATGCAACTCCAACCCAACCCAACTCAATCCACCCCAACCCAACCCAACTTTACCCAAATCAGTCCAACTCCAATCCAACTAAACTCAAAACGTACTAAGCTTAATTCCAACTCGACCCCAGGCAACCTCAACCCAATGGAACTCAACCCATCTCCCACATCCTCCCCATTCAAAATCAAACCCAAACCATGCCCATCCTCATATCCAAGCCAACTCAACTGTCCCAGGTCTTGCAACCAAACCTATCCCCATCCCCAATTTAACTCATACACCCAAAAGCAAACCGTTCCCAACCCCAACCCCAACCCCTGACATCTCAACCCAACCTCCAGGTAACTCAGACCACACCCCACCCAACCACCCAACCACCACCTGAACTCTCCATTCTAATTACTTGTGGTGGTTACGTTTGTGTGTCAACTTGGCTGGGCCTGCTTGGGTGGCTGGGCAGCTGGATATGGTTATTCCCCAGGGTGAGACTGGTAATTACCTCCATGGTGCAAGGCATGGGAGCACTGACTAGCTGCTTTGGGGATGTGGTCTGCTTCCCGTATAGGAAGCAGCTTTGGGAATAGTTTCTAGCTTATGGCACGTTTGAACCCCGCATGTAGCCGTGTCATTGTTCAGCAGCCTGCCATGCTCTGCCAATCTTGGGACTTCCAGTGGACTCGAATTAGTGGCCTGCCGTGTGGTTTGGTAACATCGGGACTGTGCCATTTTATTTGTCGACCTTGGGCTTGTCAGCCTCAGCAGCCAGTAGCTGCCTAAGTGAAAAGAAGCCTCCAGCTTCAGTGGGCCGGGAGCTGGAGGCAGAGCTGAAGCCCAAGGTCGAGGGGCTTTCACCCAGTCCCTAGAGCCTGGCACTTTGAACTTGGACTTCTAGCTTCTAAACTATAAGAGAATAAACTCCTGTTTGTTCAAGCATCCCATTTGTGGTCTATTCTTATCAGAGCGGCATTAGGTAACCAGGACACTACTCTTCCAATTCCATCCCCAAAGCTATCTCCTGCATATTCTCTGGTCCAATGGAAACCAAATGCAACCTCATGCAAACACCCAACCGTCCCCCGGGCTCTGACCTCACAGGAGTCGGTGCCTCCGCCCTCCACGCCGGCACACACCATCGTGTTCAGCAGGCGTCCGGGGTAGTCCTTGTTACAGGACGCGGTGGAGATAATGCTGATGTTGGCACAATGCAACGTATCTGGGAGGCTGACTGGGGAGGAGAGCGGTTTGGAGCAGCCTAAGTTCGGGCCCTGGCCCCCTCCCCCCAGAGACCCCGGAGAACGGGGCTCCTCAAGAGTCGCCATGCAGCTCCTCCCACGCACCTTGTGACACGGGGCTCCCTGTGGTCCCGGGCTCATCGCTGGACACCAGGCCCCAGCCGGACACCACGCAGGCCTCACCCGGGCGGGGGCAGCGGCTGGGTAAGGCCACGGGGTGCACTTGCCTGGAGAGGCGCGCTGGCCGTGCCAGCTTCAACAACATGACGTCGTGTTTGTGGCTGTGCACCTCGTGGTCCGGATGCGGGATGACGCGAGAAACAGCGCGCAGTTGCTCCGAGCCCTCGCGCTTGCGTAGATTGTGCTCGCCCAGGCGCACGCGCATGAAGCTAGGTGGGCGGGCGATTATGCGCCGGTGGAGGGAGAAGTTCGTGGGAAGGTCAAAGGCGGGGTACCTGCCGTCCCTCGAACCTGACTCTCACACACCTGCAGCTCCCTCTGCGGACTCCCAACCCTGCTTCCTGGGAATCCAGGAGCTCTGGTGGCGCAGTGCCTAAGGCACTTGACCGCTAACCAGAAGGCTGGCGGTTCAAGCCCACCAGCCACTGCCCGGAAGGAAGGTTGGAAAATCTACTTCCGGAGAGAT